GATCAGGAATGCAGAGGTAGAAGTGGAATCTTTGTTGATGCACTCAAACTCCTTTAGTTATGCTAGCACTTTAGTTTTTGCAAGGTGGTGAAAAAGATGTCCCTGTGCATTGGATTAATGGTTTATTCCAGCTGTGTCTAAATACATATTTCATTGCATTGCCATGTTTCTCTTTCTGCATAGGGTCTTCGGCTGTCCTAGCACAGCCTGCAAGCTTTGCCTGGGCAGATGTGGTGGTTTGTATGTAATGGCCTTATTCTGAAATTCTGATAAGCATTATCTATGCTATATTGTCTAGGCCATATAGGAGCCAGCTTCTGTCAACACTGTAAAGATTCCCCTTAGGCTCTAAAGGCTTTGCTCCTAAAGTGCTCTGGGGTGTGTGTTAGACTCCTCAGGCACCAATAAAAGCCCTTTGCATTCTCTCAGACACTCCAAGGGGAATACTGTAGAGCAGCTCAAATGGATACATGCCCCACATGGATACCACCATATTTCTAGCAAGGCTAAGTGGAAGTGGCAGTGGGTGGTTCAGGAGATGTTCAATGCTTAAAGTTCAGCAGATGTTCAATGCTGAACTCTTCAAGTTTCAGTTTGAAGACAAGAATTGAAGTAATTAGCATGTATTGCTTGAGGAACGTAATGTTGCCTCTGTTCATCTTCATTTTCATGGATCGGAGCACTACATGGTGCCTTTGGGAGGGCTCACTTAGGAAAAACTAAGTGCCTTGAGTTATACTTCTGTGCATAGCCTGAATTGCCTCAAATAAACCATTCAGCACAGCATAGAACCTATTATATTTGAGAGCTTTCTCTTAGGACCTACAACTAACCAGCCCTTCACTTTATTTTGAAAGGTACTCAGCCTGTTAGACTATCTCACATGGTGTCTAGCATATGCCTATAGACCCAAAGCCCTCAGAAAATGCAGCACTTTAGTAGCATTGTCCTCTAGAAGGCAGGAGACTGCTGCTTCGGATGGCATTTAAACCCCTGTTTCCCAGCTGCTAGGCTGTTCCCCTGCCCACAGTAAAGCTTTACAGGGAAGCATTAAGGCTTGGCTGAGCAGCAACACCTAGTTCTTAGGGCACATAGAGGAGGGAAGAGTAACAGGGTGCAGTCCTCACTCCCAGGGCAGTTTGTATATTTTAACCAAGGACTGTTTAGTACAAAATGACACAGTTTAAGATGTTCAGACGATCCTTCTGTATCCCAGATTACTTGTTTCTCAATGAGTTTAAATCCCAGTGTAGATTTGACAGTTGCCTAGAAATAGCACCCGAACTGTCAGGTCCCATTTCTCCTGCAGGTTTGGCTTCAGCCACGGATGTCTGAACTGCTGTTTCCACTTGACTCTGCAGATGCCAGCTGGGTCATTTGCAGTCCTTACACAGAGTCCCCAGAAGCAGCTGCAGCTATGGGAGACTTGGCTTTCTATCACGAGGTGCCGCTCAGTGGAAGCTGCAAGTACGTGCAGCCTTCGATACAGCTTCTGCCTGAAAGGAGCAACTGGTTTCTTGGTGGGCAATCGGAAGCTGTGCTTGCTATCCCAAGCACTGGATTTCAGTCTGTGACAGGCACTGGCTGCCTCTGTGAGTTGAGAATAACTCATACCTTCAGAGACCTGACAGTGAGAGAAAGGTGAAATGCTATGCTCAGCAATGATAGCTGGGCACTGTCCACAGGAGGTTTGCAAAGGTTAGGGAAGCCCAACATGGGCTGAGGTGTTCCAGGCATTGCTGCCAGTATGTACTCCAAAGGGTTTCCCATCCCACTCTTATGCCTCAGATAAACCATAACCAGCTGCTAAGCTTGTATCTCAGGCTTGTATCTGGTATAGGCTTAGCCCTTCTGTGACTGTTCCTTTGAAGTTCCTCTCTGGTTAGTTACATATCAAAAGCCTCAGCTACTTTCTTGTCCAATGTCAAGCTCAGGCTCCACTGACCCACATTTCTGACCCATAACAGTTTATTATTTGTTAACTCTGACAGAACAAGTACATGACCCATCACAGAGAAGTTTACTCCCTTCAAAAGAGAAAACCCCACTTTGGCAATGAAGAAAAAAACTCTATAAAAGTCCTAAACTCTAAAAAACACCTAAAAAAGAGTTCTGTTGGTGGAAATAATGGGTAACAGGGTTCTGTGAGTTTATCATTCCAATGTGTGGTTTTCAGTTGAGAATTGCCTTAAAAAGCTGCAGTAAGTAGATTTTTCTGTGGCTGCATACACAATTGGAAAACACCCACTTCGTCTTGCTTGTGCTGTTTTATTTCAATTCAGTTGGCTTAATCCCATTGCAGTCAGATTTATTTAATGTTTCTTTATTAGCTAAGTACTGCTGGATGCTCCAGCACAATATGCTTTATGGTAAGGGTTAGGAGAAGGCTGTAGTGTTAGCAGCATTCCCCACCATTGCCCTTTCACTCCTGTTGAGCATTCTGTTTTGCTGTGGAATAGTAACGAGTCTTCACTGACAAGAGGCGAGGACAAGCATGACTGAGGAAAGGGAAACCACTTTGACTTCATTATAATTAAGCTCCACAAACTGCTCTTTGCTGATTGATGACCTGATGCCCACTCATCTCTGTTTTTTTTCTAGCTCTGTCTTGCCTCACTGATTCATTCTGGGAGAAGCAGCTCCCATATACGAAAGGCATACATCTCAGCATTGCGTCCACGTTCAGAAGTGCTATTTCAGTTGCTAGGGGATCTGCTTAGAAAAGAAAGCCAACCCTTAAAAATGGTATTTCCATTTCAAGCAGTTTTACCTTGTTCTTATCTGTTGTTTCAGCTAATTTTCTGAAGAATCATACCCTGGTTTTGTTTTTCTGTTAATACCGGGGGGGGAAGTCTTAATTGAGACTCAAGACTGCTTGAGAACTAAACTTGCATGCACGCATATACCACAAGGAGCCCAGACTGAGTCAATATGTTGCTAAGTTCCTGGAGAGGAAGAAAGAGAACCGTGACAAAGCCTAGAGGCAATTGTGCTGCATTTTTTGGGTTTGGCTCAGGTTCAATGTTTGGGCAGAACATAGGGAATACAGTTCAAAAAATCCAGCAGTATTCTTGTGAAAATGGTCAGATACATCTGGTGAGAAAATCAAATGGCTCAGCAAATTTTCTATGAATGAGTCTTAAACGCAGATGGAGAGGTCATCTGCTTATAAGCTCAGGCAATAGCTCTAGCAATGGAAACCAGGGATCTGGATGGAGATAAAGAATTGCTAATAAAGTAATTGTCCCCACATTAAAAATTTAGAAAATACAGATTCATATAGCTGTATCTGAGGTTAAGTAGAATGCAGCACTGGTGAGAAGCGAAATAAAAGTCCTTGGGGTGTATTAGGCAAGAACAGTCTATGCCTGCAAGTATTTTAGCAGCTAAACAGCTCAGCTCATTCTCTGATACCTAATGATAATGTCTTCAGTTTCACACATTGATTTTTAAACAATGCATGTCAAAATAAAGTGAGTTCTGCAGTCAGATTAGCACAGTCACAGATTTGCTGCCTTCTCCGCACCTCACTGGAAACTCCATACTCTTGGACCAAGCTAATTCCATTATCCACAAGGTGACTGTTGGAATAGGTCTTAGATTGTTCTGCCCAGGACACACATATGAAGGACCAGCTGGTGTTCAGCCATTAGAACTATAATGCAGCATAGCCCATCCTCCAGCAACTGCTCCAGCCGTGCTTCCTGAAAATCTCTCGAAACCTCTTAAGTACCGCATTTCCCTTGTCAGCAAGAGACATCTTGCCAAATAATCTCCTTACTGGATTACAGGCAAACACCCTCTTAGTTTTTGCAGTAATTAGTATTAAGTGTAGTTTTAGATGGGAAGAGAGTGGGAGGAAGAACAGAGGAATTTAGTGTTGGCAGAAGATGCAGTATCGACAACCCTGGAACCACTAATTCATGTAAACTGTGGGACAAGGTCTGTGGGGAGGAGTTTGTCCCTACCTGTCTTGTTCCATGGGAGACAGCGCTGGGAAGGAAGGAGAATTTGGGTATTATGTACCTGCCACAGTCTTCAGGCTCTAGTATGCTGGTGTGGGGCCGCACCGACATTGTGTTTACTAAAGGCAAGCTTGTGAGGCATCCCATTTGACCAGGTCCAAGTGCATTTTCTGTGTCTGGTAAGGGAAATGGTAAAATGGAAACTTTCCTTACGTGACCTAAGCCAGATACAGCTATTAAAATCTGGCACCTGAATGTATGTGTGGCCAAATGCTACAGAAGAAAGGGTATGGTGTACACAGCAAATTGCTTCATTGTGCTGAATATGATATGACCTTGGAAGACAGCATCTGTGCTAGCAAAGTGTAATCCAAATATGCCAGGAGAATCTACAATGACATACAGGCCTCGTGAGAAGCTAGTATTTTTGTTTGTTGCTTTCTTTCCCACATTTAGGAAATACCATATGAGGAAAAATTAAAGGGTGATGCACTAGGACAGGAAAAGGACACCTAGATACTGTAGCTTGACTGATCCAATGTGTCAGCCCGAGAAAGAAAAGTGAACAGCAAGAACAGCTTCTCGGGCATCTCCATCCACCTAGTCAGGCTCAGCTTCTGGGCTCCTCAAGGTGTGGCCAGCAACAGCCTAAATATTTTTCCAAAATTTTTGGTCTGCTTGGAAAATGGGTGTCACTGTGTTGGTTGAGAAGCACCAGCAGGCCTGTCCGTTTCCCATGGACTGCCTGGAGAACAGAATGGCCAAAGCCATTGAAGGCCATGAACATTTTCCCTGTTCTCTGCTATGATGCTGACAAGGGTTATGGCTAGCAGGGCTCTTTGTGCTTGTTGAGCAGCCACTTCCACATGTGCAGCTGTTTCTGACTGCAGAAGGTATGCCCTACATTTCAAATACCTCTCTTCTGAGCAACAGGGAGTTCACCCTGCTGAGACAGTGGTGCAGATGGGGACGGCATTGCCACTATGCACGTGTTGTGGTACTATTAACCATGCTCCTTTTTGGTTTGCTCCACAGATACTATGTGGGAAAGAGATCCCCCGCTGGGTCAACCGCCTGGCCTACTTCAGCTCGTGCATCCCCTTCCTCCAGAGCTGCCTCCCCAAGGAGTGGCTGACCCCAGCAGCCCTGCAGAGCCACATCAGCCTCGGCCTCCATAAGGAGGAGCAGGGGGACACAACGGATGAGGAGTCTCCCTCCACCTCCACAGCCCCCTCAGCCTCAGGCACATCGAGAACCTGTAGACATACCCGGGTCTAAACTGTGCCCAGTATGCCCTCAAATAACACCCTCCTTTCTCTTGTACTATTTCTTTCTCACACCCTTTTTCACACCTTGGTTTCTCTCTTCTTCAATGGACAATACAGGAGTGGGAAGACCCTTTCTATTATGGAGGTGAAGCTTCAGTCCCTTTTCCAAGGGCTGCCACTACAGTTGCTCAGCAAAATGACTGTGAACCTCAGTGCTGAACTGAGGAGCATGGCAACTAAATTGGATTCTCCTCCAAGGTCCCTTGATCATGCTCCTTGATCCACAGAGAACTGCTGGCTCTCTCGGGCATAAAGGCATGCATATGGGCAAGGGGGCACCATACTGTGATGTTCCTTCTCTGGAACTGTTTTATCTTTTTATCTCTTCCCCAACCCATGTGAGCCCACCAGCCTCCTCCCTATTTTGGCTGGGCTTGCCATTCTCCTCTGACAAATCTCCTGCCCACACCCAGTGAAGGAAGCAGAGCCAGAACTCAATCTGCTCATCTCTTAGACCAGCAACAAGCTCCACTCAGCCCCATCCCTTTTGTAATTATCAGGTTTCTAACTCATGTGAAGGACAAATGAAAGGTGCTGCTGTTGTACAACCACCAGTTTTCAGTACTGAAATTTAAGAGCTCGAATGACTGTCCTGCTCTTGAAAATGAGAACAAAAAAAATAGAAAATGAATGTGTTACCATGGCTTTTCTTTGGGTTCAAAAAGAGGATGGGGCTAGTGCTTAGAGGCAGCTACTAAATATTTGCAGAGATGACTGTTGACCATATTGGTGCTTTCTGGCACAGACCCCTCTCAGTTCCCCTAAATCCAGGCAGAATTTTCCCCCAGATTCCCTCGGGAATCTCTCTTCTAGCTGACATATGCTGGCTGTCTTTGGGCCAGAGGAGAAGAGAATATCTGTTGGGAAGGTGTTTCCTTCAGCTTTTCTTCCTGCACTCACAGACCTAAAACTTGGCTCCAGAGCCACCTTTCCCTAGTCTATTTTCGAGCCAACCCAAGAAGGTAAAACATAAGCAGTGAACCCAAAGAATGTCAACTGTTTCCTTCTCCTCCCTTTTTGGAGGTGGAGGGGGAAACTTAGGGGCACATCTGGAAAGCATGGATGACCCTTCCAATGCATGGGCCACCATGGTGCTTTCCGTGTGTGCACTAGTTCAGTGGCATGGAGAATGGGCACAGCTCCCTCACTGGCCTCTCCAGGCTGGTTCTTGACAAGAATCTGATCCTTGCATATATTTATGCTCCCTCTGACAGCTGATGAGAAAGCAGAGGAGGAGGAAAGGGCAAGTACCCAAACTCTTCCAACCAATTACCTCACTAGGAGTTCTAGTCACAAGATGGATGAGAGAATCAAAGAGGAAATCGAGGCCCCCTTCTCTCCCTTGCAACTCCTCTTGGCTACACAAAGGAGGATGAAAAAGGAAAAGGCACAGTGTTGAAAGGGGGTTGCCATTTTAGAAATGCTGTTCTCAACAGCTACTACCAAGTCAGGACTTCCATCCTCCACCCAGAAAGAACTGCAAGCCCTTAAAATGGGTGGTTGTTTCCTTTTATTGGTCGCAATAGCATGCTAAGTCCAACCAGCTGTTTCTTTAGCTCAGGTATACAGAAGTGTGTGCTTTCAGGGCTGAAGGTCTTGGCTATGATGTACATCATGTCTGCACAGAAAGTGCTTAATGGTTGTTGCATGTTCACACTCTTAGTGAAGCAGAAGGCTTTGGAGAGATGTACTGGATGGAAATATAACTCACAGAATGGCCTCACTCCACTGCCTCCTGAAGTGATGCATGTTTGGGCAACAAAACTTTTACGATAAGCCTCTCATTTTCATTCTCTGAACAAATTGCTGCAAGTTCTGTACTGAACTAAAGTCATGTTATTTATTAACCTTGGTTATTCGCAGCCAATACTGAATTGTGAGCAATTCTGCACCTCCTGGTATCCAGTCCAGCACCAAACTTGATTACCCTGGCTTGTCCAGGGATATTTAGTAAGATTTCCATCCTGTTCTCCATCCTGCTGCCTGGAAACCATGTTACACAATGTACTGTTGCACTCCCTACTCCCTGAAGTCATGGTCATTGCTGACTAAACCAGCAGTGCAGGCTTCATTTGTCTGAAGTTCCCAGGGTGCCTGCCAATAGCCAGCAGCACATTATGTGCAGTGAATTTTAACATCTCTTTTTAGGTCCTTCCCTGGAGGAAAGTGAGAAGAGCTTCCCCAGAGCTTTTGTCCAGGCCAAGGAAACCACATTCAGAAACGGCCAGTTCCTGATGTGACAAAGGCCAGCCAGCCATCACCCTGAGCTCCAGATAAAGCACCATGTATACACCTAGGAGAGAACTAGGGCTCCAGGAGCATGAATCACATGGAAAATCATCTCACAGTATTTCACAAAGTAAAAAATGCTTAACTCACTGTATGGTAACCTGGTAAGAAAGCTACATTCCGCCTCCTTAGGGACATGGATATGTGCTTGAAGTATTGGGAAGAACACATGGAGCAAGCTGGCAATGTCATAAGCCCCAGATGTTTGTTCATCTACTGTTACATTTGTCCGTCTATTTATGGTAGTAGGGGTCACATCAAGAAGGCATCAAACCTCTGTTTTAATCAAAACTAGAATATATTCCAGTCTTCAAAAGCATTTCTCCCCACTCCTCTCTGTTCAAAGTGACGAACCAACAATGACAAGAACAAAGGGACACTGTGGAAATAAAATATATATTGATGATAGCTTTACCTCTGTAATTTAACAGCATTTTAGATTATTAAACATGAAGACATTTTAAAAGCCTAACTTACCATTCATCTCTGGTACAGCATGTTTGTTTTAGGCACTTTTCTTATACTTCCAATTATTACAAAATTATTATTGTTAGGTGATTATATCATATTTGTATTTAGTTACACATTTGCTTTCTCTTGCTGTTTTCAAGCATGACACAGTGGGAAAATTTTAGATACCAACAGTTATCAATGAAAACAAAAGAGCAGTTTATGAACATTAACAAGAGCACCCCATGGCACTGGCACAAACTCTTAACCCTTTTTCTTACTGCCAGGACTTTTGGTGCCCTTTTGAAAGTTAGAATGAGAGGGCACCAACTCTGCACACAGGCATCAGCAGCTGTAGGTTATGTCTCTAGCACAGACCTAACAGTTCTTATGGGGGACAGTAAGACTGAAGGTGAGCTTAGCCTTAATGCCGGAATACAAATATGATACAAACTGTTTGAAAGGAAAGTTAGGGTGAGAGGAAAGAGGTGAGAACCTCTCTTCTGTGCACATCTGTATAGAATCATAGAATCACAGAATGGGTCAGGCTGGAAAGGACCTTAAGATCATCTAGTTCCAACCCCTCTGCCATGGGCAGGGACACCTCACACTAGACCATGTCACCCAAGGCTCTGTCCAGCCTGGCCTGGAACACTGCCAGGGATGGAGCATTTACCACTTCTTTCTATAGTAGCAACCCTCAATTTCAGGCCATCATTCTTGGTATCCTATTCACGAGTCTGTGATTTGAGGTCTGTATCTCTCAAGGTTTTAAAAGGGGCAGTTGTGCTTTCAGAGGCCCTGAGTGAGCAGGTTCCCCAGCACTGAGCCTGTGCTCTGTGATGATTTTATTCTAGCCTCAGCACAGCACAGGGATGAACACAGACCTGTTCTCTTGCTCCCAGTGCTCCCAGCTGAGAGTTTGTGTTACTGGAATTCAGACCCGTGTTGCTGACGTACTCAAGAAGCAGCCATTTCCCGCTTCTTTATTCTTTAGTTCTGCTTATTTGTTTCTACCATGGAGAGGCCCTCAGAACAAGTTTGTGGCCACTGGATTGCAATAATGTTAGCTTATCCTGTTATTATATGTTTGATTTTCTTCTCGTTTTATTTTGTATGTAAGTGGTGGCTTAAAGTAAAGTACCTCCACCAATTCCTCAATGTGATTAATGGAGAAAACCAAAGCAAGTTATCATCAGTGTTTCATTTTCAAATGATTTTAAACTACTATCTGGGTTGCGGCAGCTGGTGCCCTGTTCCACTTTGTCCCTGCTGTGCTCCCCATCAGGCAATGATCTGGGTTGCGCAAAGGCTGTAGTGACTCAGGAAGTATTTAAAAGCACTTTCTTTTTCTCAGCTATTGCCACAGGCTACCTAAACGTGGCAGAGCCTTCGGCTACGGTAATACATGAAAACATCGCAGCCCATGCCTGGAGAATGCGCTCTTATCTCTAGCATGTCAGTGCTCCACCGCTGTGCATGTGGCTGCAGCTGAGAGGTGTGCGAGTGGATGGCATTTCACGTTTAATTACTAGCAGGAA